ATATCGTCGGATATTTGAAAGGCTAAATGAAGGCATCAGTTCTGTAAAGGAGAACGGCCCCAAACGACCGTAGGCCCGAGATTTGTTCTTTCTCTCACAGAATGGACAGTTTGAGGCCTTTCTCCTAATTAAAACATGATTCTCTTTGTTCTGAGAATTTTTTTTAAAAATGTGCAAAACAGATGGCACACATACAATAAATTCATTGTTTACAGAATGGGCGGTTACAGGTAAGCTTGGGGTGCATAGCAATTTGTTCAATAGCAATTGTGTTTTCAGATGCGAGTGACAAAAGGTATTTGTCTAAAGAACAGACAATTACAGGTGGATTTCGGGGGAAGCCAGGTATTTATATAAGAATGCAACTTTTCAAAATCAGTTTATATTTTGTGTTGTAAAGGTAAACATGTCTCCCTCCGATGGAGAGAATATATCATGACAGAATGGAAATCGAATTGAAACCAACAAATGCACAAAAAAGGGATATTTTGACCAGAGAATAGTAAGGGTAAAAGAAAATTATCCAAACTTCGATCCCTCAAACCGGATTTTTTAAAATTTGAATTCAGTTTTTGGGGATATATTAATTGCATCAGTGTAATGGTGAAATGCAAATTGTGTTCCGAGTGTTGGATAGCCATGAGCCTAACGTCGACCTGAAAATGTATTTCAAATTTAGCGTAGTTTTCATGGTGAAAACTGTTTTCTGAGTAATGGATTTGATATAAGCGGACAGTACTTCAAGCTTAAAATGGATTGATGGGAATGGTGCTTCCAAAATCTTAATCAAATGTGAATATGTGTCATTTAAATTCAAATTTTGTGGGGGGGGGGATGAGTTTTGAGCATTGAAATAATATTCATTATTCATGGATTTAAATGTGTAAATCAAACAGATCCGATGCAGACATTTTGTTCTGGATTAACTTAAATCTCCAAGTTCTTTTTGTTATTTACAGGCACATTTAATCGTATTTAATGTAAATGTTTTTGTATCCCTATTGTGCACATGCCAAGGTTTACCTGTAACTATCCATTCTGTTTGTTTCAACTCTCCATTCTTTAAAAAAAAAACCGCCCATTCTTTAAAAAGAATGGACACTTTTCCAAAATGAATGGACACTTTACAGGTGACTTAATGGATTGTTAGGGGAGTTAGCTCAACACTAAGCTACAGAATGGACAACACAAACAATAAGTCTACGTCACAATCATGTTTTAATTAAAATCAATGTTTTGTACTATTAACTTTTTTTGCAACCAAATTTTATCAATACTCGGTACATTACTAGTTTACATGATTAAACCTACACTGCAGTTACAACTAAGAAGGGGCAAGTATCCTTTCAGCTTTCGTTCTTGGAAGGGAATATAACTATCAATGAAACGATGTAGGAAATATTATGATAAGAAAATGAGAGTTTGGAAGTAATTTTTGACATTTACTCTAGTAATAATTTTACACAGATAAAAAAGGTAATAAGCCTCTGGACCACAAAAAGTCTTGCAAATTGTATTATTTCCATCCCTCTTCTTGAGCGGCAAACACACGAAGGCACATGGTATCGGGGGGGGGAGTGGGATTGGGACAGTAAGGGACCTGCCCTTTTTCCCGCTCCAAACAATATTTTACGTTTTCAACAATAAAATATTGTTTGAAGCAGAATTTTTGCAAAATCTTACACCTGAAAAGAAGAAAACACTTGTTGTGGCCTTCAACTTGACATTTAGATATATCGACGACGTATACTATTTTTAATTAACAATGGTAATTTCCATTCCTATATTGATACGATATATCCTGGTGAGCTTGAGATATAAGATACCACAGAGTCTGACACATCTGTTTCATACTTGGATATTTTACTTGAAAAAGACACTAATAGTAATCTTACAACCAAACTCTATGATAAACCTGATGATTTTAACTTTTCGATTGTCAACTTCCCTTACCTATGCATTAATATACCTTCATCACCTGCATACGGAGTTTACATATCTCAGTTGATTCGATACGCTAGAGCATGCTATGCGTACGAACAATTTCTATAACGAGATAATTAAAATTTATTGACAAACAAGTTGATGAAACAAGACTTTCAGCAGACTCGTTTAAAGTAATCCTTTCTTAAGTTCTATGATCGATTCTATGACCTTGTCAGCAAATACAATTTATCACTTCAGAGTCAAATGCTGACTGACGTTTTTCATACTAATTTTTAGTCCATTATTTATACACTGAATTGACGACGGATTTTTCCTTTATTTCCCGATCATGACAAGGAGTACACGACGGGTGTGACCGGTCGGCAGGGGATGCTCACTCCTCCATGGTACCTGATCCCACCTCTGATGATTTGGGGGTCCGTATTAGCTCTGCACCTATTTTGTATTGTTTTATGGACTTTGATATTGAATACTGTTCGTTATCTCCATATCCTTCATACATTCCGGCGAATGTCAATGAGTGTATCTATGATCCAATGATAACATTTCGAATGGCAGAGAGATGGGGCTTAACGTAGAACCTACGTCGTATGACATCAAAACTAGTGAATGTGTTTAGCCTGTGCTAGATCCATTATGACGTCATAATTGATTCAATGTCACTTTTTCCCGTACTTTACAGCTTCAATAGAAATGGTAGAAAATATATTCACAGAATTCAATTTAAAATTATGCCGAAATAATCATAATTCAATTTTTTTTTGTTATAATGCTTAATGATATATGTTTCTTGAATTAGAGAAACATGTAGGCACCTTTCAATTAATAGATCTTGACCTTAATTAAGTTAACAAATCCAAGACCATCTTGTGTAATGAAATAACAATGTATACAACTTACTGTAATAATATAAATGGTATGTACATGTAACTATTTTGAAGGAATGCAAAAATCCAAAAAAAAAATCTTCAGTTGCCAACTAAATAGTTGTAATATGTTGATAAATGTGTCTAAGTCAAAGATGTACATGTTGTAGATCCTGTGATCGTGTGAACATTTTGTGATATCTATCATGAAATGATGTGCATTCCTTTTCATAATTGTTTGTTACTTATTCATTACTTGGAGTTTGGTTACAATTGATTACAAATTTACAATTTTTCTATTACATATGATCGTTTTAAATTAAAAGTACAATTTTTGATAAACTTTTTTAATCTGAAAGTAACCCAAACAGTCATTTAATAATTAAATCCCGTGTAAGTGCAAAAAGGTCAAGAATATTAGGATCGGTAAATTACCTATCTCTCATTAGTTATAAGGGAAAGGTATATATTTTAATCACTTTTTGTAGTCATTTGGGTATGTTCTTTATCATATTGAAAATTGAAAACATTGTGACAAAGACTTCTGAAAATATTTACAAATGTAGGGTGGAAAATTGACTGAAAATAAATAGAGTTCATTTGCCTATAGTTTTTAAAAAGTGGACTTATCTTTTATGTCAATTGAATAAAAAAGAATTTATTCTCGGGAAATATTGTTTGATACTGTTCAATTAATAAACAATAAAACAACGATGTTTAAAGAAGTATTTTTTTATTTTTTGTCTTCTTTGCATGACAAGTACCCCTGAAAATGACTGAAATTGTGAAGTCGTAATATGTAATTATCATTCCATGTTTAACTGCCTGCACTGTATTTAATAAGAAGGAAACATGTCATGAGCTTTTGACTGATTAATAAGCGGGTGCTAATTTATCATTATGAAAAGTTTGAAAATCTTGTGACAAAGACTTCTCCGACATAGGTTCTACCTTAAGTCGTCTCATCGTTGTCAACAACATTTTAAAGTTGCTGATGTTATTAATTTCTTAACCAATGAGAATCTATTCGCCATTTGAGAAACGTTAATTAGGTAGTGTCTAAAAAGCCACGCACTACTGAAAATCAAAGGTTAACTGAGAATCGTACTATTTTGGAATTCTATTTAACTGGCAATAAAAAATGAAGAACACACTGTCGTTTCTTTGTTTTCTTACTAAATCTTAAACTGCAGAATTTCGAGAGAAAATAGTGAATTTCCAAAATATTGTCCATATTACACTGTATACTAGTACAAGGTTGTATGTACATGTAATTACATTATGATATTATGATGTTAATGATCAATTGATTTGTTTCTTTTACGATAAATTTTATAAATACATAACCTGATACCAAAACTTACCAAATGGTTATATATACATGTGCCTGTAATTACACGTATATTATGATATTGATGATTTGCTAATATTACCATTAATTAATAAGTACATGACTTGTGTTATTATTATACTATGGGTTAAAAGAAAATTTCCGAAACAAGTGTCTGTGTGATAAACAGAGTAAGTATAATTGCACATGATTTGCTGAGGAAAAAATGGAGAGGGTTTGCGAACAGTCAAATTGTTTCCCTTCATCTTTCCTATAATAAAGGAACCGAAGCCGATTTCGTTGTTCTGTTTGAGGACAGAATCCAAAAATCCCAATTGGATGGAGGATGGAAATAATCACAAAATACATTAATTTGATGTATACATTGCAATATATAAATGTTAATTTTCCGGTTTTGTATATCCATTACCGCCGTGAAGCAATGTCAACTGTTGTTACGCTGGAGGGCGTGTCTTTAATAATCAGCGGGTATTAATGCTTCTCGACAAATCAGATTCAACCAATTTACTTGAAAGTATAATAATTTATACAGAAATATTGAATGAATATGAAATATATACATGCAAATTTAAACCACACAAGAAAATTCTGCACTTCTTACAAAATTTATTTTTTTTCTGAGAGAGATACATATAAATTGATCCCTTCTCTCATTTTAATCTCAATGGGGTTATTTCTCTACACTTATTTATTGAAGAAATGTCTATATTCAAATTTAAGTATCTCGATTTAGTCATCAATCTTTACGATAAATTAAAAAGAAACAATTGAGTTATTTAGTTAGGTGGTGTAGCTGCCTACAATTTTGGAGTTGGAATGTTCAGTCGTGGGAAAACTTAGACATTGGTTCCACTGGTGACGATTACAGCAATGACGTCATTGCTAGGGCTCAGTACCTTATCAAACATGAAGGATGGTAGGCGGTCACCTAAGGATAATGAATTATTATAACCATGGTTATAAGCTTCTGCTTTGATATTGAAAATGAATTTATAACTGTTATACAGTATTACGTCCAAAAAAAGTATTTTTTGTAAATTGTTTTTGTCATATACCCGACTTAAAATGCTATCCAGTCAATAAAACTGGAATTTAATCATTGGTCGTTCTGTTTTTTAATCATTATACGATTAAACGGGGGTTTTATTGAAAAAAATAATCGATGTGTAAACTCTTGACATTTTTCTCACAAACTTAATAAAAGTGCACAGCAATCATCCTGGTCATGTGATTGCTGTGAATGAGGGCTCGACAAAACAGCTCTCAAATGTACAGGTTGTGATGAAATTGCGAGAGTGTGTTGTATGTCGCCATGACACATCCTCCATAACTCAGTGAATGTTTCCATGACAACACTTCCGCTTTCATTATCTTGACCAGCTTTAAAAAAGAAATTACATCTTCTCCCAAGGTTGAAGAAAATTGTTCAATATTAGGTCTGTTAAGGCTTGTTCTGAATTCCCCAGCTCTGATTTTATCAGATTTGATTTCACAAACCTTAAAAACAAAAATAAAAAGAAATGTTGAAAACTTGTGCATGTACTTAATAATATACTAGTTAATCGATTTATATTTTGTTCCTGCAGTTTAAAATGTTGCGATTATATTATTCCACAACTTTGATTTTGCAATATTAAGTTTTTCTGTAGTGTCTATTAGGTCTATAGTACTATTTTGGAATTCTATTCAACTGGCAATAAAAATTGACGAACACAGTATGAATTTGTCATTTCATTGTTTTCTTACTAAATCTTAAAATGCAGAATTTCGGAGAACAAAAGGAATTTCCCAGATATTGTCCTTTACACTGTATACTAACCCTGTACCTGTAATTACATGTATATGATGATATTGATGATTTGCTAATAGTACCATTACTTAATAAATACATGGCTTGAAACTTAACCTTACCAAACTCTGAAAAAAGGCAGGAGCAGCACCAAATACGTGAAATATACCATCAGCTATAGTGGCGGAGATACAGAGGATTAACCACAACCACGCCACCATCACCATGTGCTCCAAAAACGGATTCAGGGTCAGAGTACACATATCACTGTATTTTCTAGTATGCTGGTAAACAGTGTAAGTATAATTGCACATGATGTGTTGAGGAAAAAATGGAGAGGGTTTCAGAACAGTCACATTGTTTCCCTTCATAAATTCTATAAAAGAGAAACCGAATCTGATTTCATTGTTCTCAACTTAAAGAGAAAATCCAAAAAATCCAAATGGGTGTAAATATTCACAAAATACATTAATTTGATAAGACACTGCAATATCGTAAATGCCCCGAGAGATAAAATGTTAATTTTCCGGTTTTGTATCCATTGGTAGATGTAGATGGCGAGCCTCTTGCCCCCAATTTACCGTCTTTTTCTCCGCTTCCGGGAACAATAAAATGGATACCCAACTTCTTTTTTGTCAGATTCCATATCATAAACGGAATTCGAAAAAAATAGCCTGTAAAAACAGAACTAGATACATATGTTGGTACACAGTTGTCTCATTGGAAGGATCATCGGAAGGATCAACATCCTCGACAAAATACAATGATAGGGATTGTGGTCGCTGGGTTTCCACGGCACCTTCCTAATTGTTCTGGCATTATAACACCGAGCTTTTTCATAATCAACCATGACTGGTGTGAACTCCGCTGGAAAGGCACATTCAATTGGATTGAAACACACTGGGTACAAAAATGCCAATATGCCCAATGTCAGGAAAACCAGAGGAGTCCATTTTCCATTTAGTTTGCCCACCCAACTCTCAAAAGACAGTGTGGATTTTTTATCAACCATACTGGACCTTCAAGAAAGTTTTAAATATTTTTTAAAGATTTCCTGCAATTCTAGTAGCATGGCGTTATCTTAAGCTTGTTATAAATCCTTTAAAATAAATATTATCATACCACATCATACTACTTATTTCACAATCACTCTTAAACGTAAGAGGCCCAAACTAAACTCACCCAGAAAGTTTGTAAGACCATACATTGTTCCCTGTTTGGGTTAAAAAATCATGAAATCCAAACCATTTGCAAACTATTATGAATATGCTGGATATCATACTTGCTATTCCGGATTATCTATTAAACACTTTTGGTAAGGTCTGCTCATTATTTTGTTTGTTTTAACGCCCCTCTCACATTTTTTCACTCATATGGCGACGCCATCATTTGCCGTGGAACCTTTTCATCCTACATTAAACCTCAGGGCCATGACCTCACTTTTCTTAAATTTGTGTTTAAATCAATTTCAAAGAAACTATTCAAGATATTGTTTTTAAAACAAGAGGTCGGCCCATGGACCACCTGAGCACTGTGGCTAGGAAGAAAGCAAGAATAGTCCAGTTTTGAAAACCTTAAACGCAGTGGCCCAACTTTCCCAAAAGACATTCTAAGAATGCTTCATATAAATATATCAACCATAGTGTATATGGCTTAGTTCTTAAAAAAAAGATTTTAAAGATTTTTCCTATAAATTTCTTGAAAAAATGTGGTGTCCATTGTGGCCCCACCCTACCCCTGGGATCATGATTTGAAAAGAAATCTTTAATTAACACACCTAGGATGCTTCCAAAATTTGTTTCATCAATCCCTACCCAATGGTTCTTGTCCAAAATGTATAAGTGACTTTGGTTTTACTTTTCTTTATTTTAGTACATTTTTTATGAATTGACAGTACTGATACATAAAAACTAGTAATGTATCAATTTTTTTTACTAGACATATTTCTAGTTATCAATGGTTTAGAAAGCAGTGCATTCCATAGAGCCTTATAGAGTCTAAATATATCTCGTTAATCTAATATTTGGCATCTCTGGGAATAAAATGTTTTTCACTGTGTTTTATAAAAAAAAAATTGAGGAAATTAAAAGTAAATAGGCCTCAGTTATTTGGTAATGTGCAGTAATTAGAGTAACTTATCGCTGTTGTGTCTACCGTAATAGTTTTCTTTAAAACCTGTCTATCCTTACAGAAGAGAACGAGACAGTTTGCTTCAGATAAAATCAATGTAATCTTTAAAAAAAACACTTAAAAACACTGCTGTGATGTAATTCCTTTGTTCTTGATTTTAAAATTTTACTTGTGGCAGTCCAAATTGGGGCTTGATATTAATCAAAAAAGTATACAAAGCATCAACTCGGCCGAAAACAAAATTTAGCATAAAAAAAATCTTTTACATTTAAATGCGTCCATGCAAGGAAAGCACGTCAAGATAGTTGAATAATTTATTTCATGTTGACTTCAAGGAAAAATAAAAATTTTTAAAGAATTAAAATAAACATTTTACCGCATTTGCCCCGATGTAAAAAGAAAATCAATCATCATTGATGAATGATAAAAATTTATTGTCATCACACCCATTCTCAATATAAGGGCTCAAAGAATGTCGCCCCATTTTCATTTGAAAGAAATACCACTGATGTAATTTTTAAATCAACATTATAAATAATCATATAACAATGAATAAGAATTCATATAATTATCAGTCTGAAAGGGTATTTAAGAATTCCCAAATTCAAATATAGTAGCCTATTTGAAATGTAGTTACGTCGCCGAGGCAAATATTAATCTGACCCCTCTGTGTAATATGAGTTTTGATTCTCAAGAAAAAATTTTCTGATAAGTTAAACCTTGTATCATATATATTTTTTTTATAACAATAAATACATTTTCTTTGTGATAAAAAATAATTTTTATTGGAAAGTCCCTGTCGCTTAATTCTATTTCAACCACATTACAAGCAAACACAAAGATTATACACCTAATAGTTTTGTTCTCCTTTATTTATTGATGGGCTAAATTTGAAATTTCAAAGGATTAATTACTCCTACTTAGATAATGAACATAAATTAAAATTTTAGAACTTTTATAAATATGTTTACGGAATGAAAGACATTTTCAATCGTAGAGGTAAGAAAGAAATGTACTTTACCAAAATTTTTTATTAAGAATACTAGTATATATTAAGTAGAAAATATGAGAGACTTGAATAAGCAACCCCTTGTATCCTGTAAACTGGCAAAGAAGTTTTGCTTAGCACAATTACAAATTATTTTTTACATGAAAAGTGATCATTTGAAATGTACGTGACTAAAATTAAGTCCCCCATAAATTCGAATTAAGTGAATCTCGCACGAATTTTCACGTATTCTCATACTTTCACACACACGAATGTGTACACAAAGGAAAGTTTCAAAGGTTGGAGGTCGGCAAAATCCCAAAAAAGAAAAGAAACGTTTCTGCTAAAAAAAAATATATTAAGGTCAATTATATGTAATATAATTTGGATACCTGGTATATATTTCTGAATACGAAACCTGTATGATGCATTTCTTATGATATGCAAGTTCAAATAGTATCAATATATTGCGTGTCTAACGTATGCTTGTGGAAGAGAATTGATTTTTATATTTGAAATGTACGTTACGTATGGTAACGTACATTTTACGTATTTCTAACTGACATTTTTTTATTTAGTCAATGAATTGCGTTTACACGAGCGAAACAAAATTATCGTTACCATCCATTTGACAACTGGCCACATAAATCCATCTAAATGCACCCCCAATCCCCGTAAATGTTTTAGACTGTTACAACATGCTAGAAAATTTATTTCTAAGTGTCTTAAATTCATCTTTGGCAACCTTCCTGAGGGTTTTCTTTTAATATGCGACTTTTCGTCAATATTAATTTAATTGTTGTTGATAATTTAAAACAACGTATGCATAGGCTTATAATTGATAAAAAAAAAAGAAGAAAAAGAAAAAAAACAAATAAACCCAGAACACAAGACGGTCAAGTACATTTCAAATACTGAAAGGCACACAATACTCAGTTTTGTTTGAAACATTGCATTTTGGGTTATATTTTTCCAGATCTGCTGAAAAGCAATTATGTTTGTGTTTTGAAAAACGATGTTGCAACATACTAAAAAAAATTAAAAACTGTCATGGATATATTGGAAAATTTATGTTGTTTCAATGGCCAAACACGAGCATTTGTTAGTTCATAGCAAAATACGTCTGACTCTTATATTTTTTTTGTTGTATCCTTGCACAAAGGTAGAAGTAACTAGGCTTCGACCGGTGTCAATTTCAGCGAAACAGCACAAAAGAGTGGTTGAACTGAGGTGGAAGGGACTCCCCAATAATATGTGAAATGAACGTTACCGAAGTGACGTGACGTTCATATAGTTGATGACAAATAACCTCGCTTGTTACATTATGATTTCTTATTACTGCGTTAAAACGCTTCATTGAATTAATTCAATTGCTTTTTTTAATATTTTCTTATTACCAATTTACATATTATTACAAGCTTGAAATGTACGTTACCTATCAAATTTCCCAGGCAATCGTGTCTTTATAGTGATGATTGTGACATATAACACAATGTGATTACATAGAGAATCATTTTTGGAATAAACTGAAACAAAACGATGAATTTTTAGGTGAATTTTAAGCTTTTTATCAAACAGAAAAATTTCTTGAAATGTACGTTACATTTACGTAGTTTTCTAAAACGGCATGGATATATGTTAAAAAAGACAGTAACTACAAAATAGAATTTTACTACATGTACATGTTAGGTTCCAGTATCTATAGAAAATGACAAGATTCCAAACTATCGCTTAAACAAAACAGAGAGAAGAATTTAAAGCATATATTTAAAAAATGTTTTTATACATCTGGATCAAAAAGTAACCTTTGTTTTTTAAAAAAGGGAAAAAACAAACGCACGTTCGTATGCCGAGAAAAAATGATGCTGACAGAGTTGGTAGGATGTGCTGGTGTTAAGATGAGATATTCCAATTGTGATTTTAATGACTACATTTTTTTACATATCGGACATTGAAGAAAAGTAAGACATTTCAATAATTTCTGAAAAAAATCACCCTTACTTTATCGTCTTGTCATTATTCCATGTATTATAATTTGATGAAAAAAATCTGGAAACAAAATCTTCAGATACTTTCTTTAAAGGTAATTGATAGAAAAATTGTTATCTTGAACTTCATTTTTTTAAAAATCAGAGAGGCATTTGTGCCCTTATATTGAGAATGGGTAATCAGAATGAAGATGTAGGCCTCTTAAAATGAACCACATGCTTATACCCTGGACCTGGTAGTGATAATGCCAATTGTGGTTTCTGCAGAATATAGGCTATGCTCATCCGCGGTGCAAAATGTAGAAAAATATCTTTTTGTCATTTGCAGCTGTAGAACTTATTCAAAACAATTTTACTAGTTGAAAAACTTTTCAATTTTTTTTTTTCAACATGCACTTTTACCACGTAATTATTATCTGGAAAATCATGACAATTCCTTTCATATCTTTCACACTCCCAGGCTGGGGAGAATCTATTGTGAACTTTTTTTTATATAATCAAAAATTATATATTATCTGATGAGAAATGATAATGAAATTGAAATTTAACAACAGTTAATACTAAGAAAGTTTTTAAAATATTTTACTCATTCTTTTTACTTTGTTATCATTTAAAAAATTGTTTTATTTAACTAATTAAAAAATAACGTCCCATTTCCCCATGTGCACTTTCTAATACCCACTGATAAATGGCCGCTGCTGCGGCCGATAATTACACGAAATATACTTTAACAGGAAGAAGAACATGTGGCAGACCAGATCATGCAGATAAACTAACAAACAAAGCGGTGGATTTCTAATTAACTTATTAAACTTGAAGAAAAGTTTCAACCCCTTTTTCTGGCTTTTGAAAAAGAGTATGGACTGTGGTTCACCAGAGAAACACAGAAAATGCCAAAACCCCCAA